GAAACTACGTTGTTGATGATGGAGACATCATCTTTTTCAAGTTTAACACCCCAAATGCACCAAAGAAACAGTGACACAAGAACAATCTGTTTGTTCACATAACTATCTTGTTCTTCTTACCCTTTGTTGGCCTGATACCCACTGCCACACTCTCACATAAGGATCAAATCCCCCCTCTGCTCCAAAGCACAGGTTCAGTAAACTCTGACAGCTTTGCTATTTAAGATCAGGATCGGCCCCCACTCCAAATTGTTGCAGCATTTGAAGGAGCATATTACTCTCCAGATACCTCATTAATCTCCATCACGGGTGCCAGCACTGACACAGCTGACAGTGGGGACAATGCCACCTGCTCTTCTCCCCCTTCTGCAGATAATGCATGTTTTACAGTAGCCCAGATGTCTACACTCAATAAAACATTTGACAAAACCAGTCTGTGTGTGTTTTGGGATGTCTGTATTGAGTGGGAAGCTGCATGGGGATGGTGATAGTGGTCCTGCCGACCACTGATTAGAGAATTAAAAGACACAGCTGACATTGACTGTAGCAGAGAGGGGACAATTATAATTAAATCTGTTCAGTAATGCTGATTTTAAGAAGGGCACATGCAGGATGCAGGTGTTTCGGCCAAAAGAGCTGGTCAGTTTAAATGATTATTTGTAAAGTGATTGAGTTAACCTTTCATTTACAATTTTCATTTAATTTATGATTAATGAATATATGTGTGTCCTCTCTTTCACAGTCCCTACAGTACTTTCTTGCAAACCTCTATTATAGCATCTTTGTTGTGTTTACAGTGTATTTTTCCTGTCCCTGAACATTGAAGGCAAATACACACCTACAAATAAATATAATTAAATATGAAGAAATATTCAAACCATTTTTTATAAAAATAAAAGTCCACATCTTGTGATATTTTGTATAGTATGAAAATAGAGGTTGATACAATCCACAACCAGAAAACGATTCCTGTTGTCTGAAGTAGTGTTTTTCTCGCCTCTATACTTTGTGTGCAAGTGTTTGTGAAGCGTTTATGCTGATGGAATTGTATGGCTGCAGCCGCAGTGCTCCAAAGTAAGATTGTATTCTCCGTGGGAGTCCGAACAAAGAGCTGTAGATCAGCAGTGCTTTGGTGAATATCTTGTAACCATTAAGACTGCAGAGAACAAAATGGCCTTGTGATGGGAACAAAAAGATTGAATAAAAATGGTCATTTTACGGAGATAGTATTGCATATCCAAGTTTTGGAAAGGAGCCTGAGCCTGTGCTAGCACTACAAAGCACAGTGTTTGTCATGGAAATAAGGTGGATTATAGTCTTTGAGGTTTGAGATCAGTGGCAAAATATAGGATAGTGTTTATTGTGGTTGGATGGAACGAAAGAAGGATGACAACATGTGTATAAAATAACATTAAGCTTACTTTGCCTGGTTGCTTTTGCGTTAACCACTGATTTTAATCACTTAAAGATATTTCATGCAGCAGGCCAACATTTACAGCGCTCATATACTGTCCTCTGTGCAACAACAGGCTGTTTTTGGCTCACTTTTTTCTAAGTGAAACCATACCGATCCTCTGGAGAACACAATGGGGGCTTTGCATTCCTCTCGAGGTGGTGGTGGTGGTGTTGGCCAACCTAAACCCCACATACTCATCTGCTGTAGTTTTGAGGCTCGGAGATTGACGAGTTGTTGCCAGTGGTCTGGGTCGTGGAGTATTTTGTTTTTCATAAAGTGACAATAAATATTCTCAGAGCGAGCTATTTAGAATCATGCAGATGTAGTATAGGAAAAAAACACCATAACAAAGAGGCAAGAATTATAACAATGGAATAATATTATTATGAATTATAAACTCACTGGGTGTCCTTTCTGTCCTGACACAATTAAGCACATTTTAAAGTATACATGCAAACATTAGCACCTGATATAACCATTATCGGAAGTCGTAGGTGGATTGTTAAAGAAGTCTAACTGGTTTAACCTCTAAGTACATCTAATTAAAAACAAGTCCAGAAATATGACAGAATCTCTGTTGACACAAATGTTCTGTCAGCACCATCAATCAAGCGGTGCCACTCTGCCCAGAGGCAAACCACAGTGGCATCAAACCAATAAGGCTAAGAGTGGAAAGCTCGCTTTCAAACACACACCCAGGGAAACAGACTGTGGCCTGCTGTTGTAAATCACATGCACACCAAAGACCTTTGAAGAACTTTTAAAAAAGGAATGTTTGACACATAACAAATACACATATAAATAACTACGCTATTTTTTAAAGCAGCTACGATGCACAAGGGATTGTGTGAGGAAATGCAATGGTTATTGTTAACGCATTGTGTCATATTATTACAGACAGGAATCATCTCTATTTTGGATGATCATAAAAGTGTTGCCATGTTGTAATTACTGCTATTGTGTGTCTTCTCTGTCTGTTCTGATACTATACGCATTCATATGTTACATCTGTACCTTTCATGCAACTCTTATTTATATGTATAGTTATATTCTCAGTTCCAGAGACATTCCATCCACAGATTTGATATTCCATCCACACTTCTGTGCTGCACCAGATTCAATTCTCTCTCCCAGCTCCCATTTACAGTGTCCCACGAGGTGCCTCCAGCAGGGCAGTTTCTCTCCGTGGGGTCACTCTCTTTTGGACTGGCCTTCATGAAAACAACTGTCAATATGTTAATATGAAACACTCAGAGCCATTGTGGGCTCACTCTGGTACTCCTCTTATCCTTCCCATTCTGCTCTGTGCCTCAACAACAATGTTCACCCCCAGAATAAAGTGAGAAGTGGCTTTTGCTTTGAAAAATAAAGTTTTCATTACTATTTCTAATCCAATTTTTCTGTTAAGATTTGTTAAAAAAGAATATATCATTGAATTTTCCCCTTAACAATACTTAATAAAAGCTGCGTCTGTGCAGTGAGAAGGTCATTGGTGCCCCTATTTACAGTTATATCTATCACACCAAATCCTTATAGATGTGCTGAAGCTCCCACTGGGTAATTGCTCCACAGACTTCACAGATTCCTCTCACGAAGTGAATACAAGGTCCGTCAATACGATCTCATTTCCTTTGTTTGCAGCCGGAGCTGGTGACAACACTCACAGGTCTGAAGACAAACACCATGGCAGTTGTGTCTCGTGTAGGCCATTGCGTCCACCAGGGGGTTGTATTTGAACTGTTTTTAGGATATTTGACTTTTCCCTTTAACTTGGAGGTCTTTGTAGAAATTGTTGATACATTTCCAAGGACTCCTGGAGTAAGACAGACACAGCTGCAAGGTTTTTCTAAAGCTGTTTCCATTGGCCTGTGTTTACCTGACACTTGGATTGACAGTAGAGTGATTGGAAATATCCACCATTCACTGCCGTGAGCTCCTGAGTGCACGGAAAGTGCTTTTGTAGTCTGGCTGTAATGGGCCAAGTTTGAATTGAAGGTTGAGAGAAATAGCCTCACTGCGGTCGGGCACTGTGAGGAACTGACACACCACAAATAATATTCAGAAGTGGGGTCCTCATAGCATCACAGAGCATGTACAATAGCATGCAGGCTCTCATTTCAATGCACTTTCACAATGTTGTACTGTGCACATCAGATGGAGGGGACAAAATCACGTCAAATACAAACTCAGATTGTATCTCGACTGTGTTCCTTTTTGTCCTAGTAATCAACACACATCTTCAAACTCAATGGCTGATCACTTTCTCAATCACAGGTAAGAAAGTGCCACTATTAGTTTGCAGGAACACTTGAGAGCAAACCTGCCATGTTGAATGGCATCGTTCAGATTCATCAAAGAGACCGGATTTCTAGCAGTGCCTTAAATAGAAATCTGTTTTGTGAACTTAAAAATATGGATACATGGATACTGATCAAATCTGCCTTTATTTGAACCATCATCATTAAATACAGTTTCTTTGTCAGAATAATTGTAAAATTCAGTGTTTCCTCCATCAGTTATATTTCACTCCCAGCAGGCCACCAGCTCAGTTTTTAAAGCCATAGTGGTTGGTCATAGCAATGGGCTGACTCTTCATTCAAACTCAATACAAGCTGCGAAGGATACAGGCAATCCTGCCAAAAATAAATTAAACTCACCAAGCTGTCTGCCTGTGTAGCAGGTATGAGTGTCATCAGTGTGTGTACTGGTAGTACTGTTAGCTGTTAGCCAAACACATTGTCCAAAACATGATGTGTAGAGTAGTGGCTGGAGGTCGGCGATGCACTCAGATGTGTTATCACTAGCGGGTAGAGGCCCTTAGTGGCCAGGGGCCGGTTCAGAATGGTGGGTGACAAGTCGGCAGACAGTTAAAAGGCAATATATAAACATGCAGTATAAAACAGGCAATGAAATGTGTTGTGAGAAAGTGTGAGTCACTGCAAGCACGAGATGCCTTGAGAATGCAGCCATAAGTGGTCACCCCAAAACAATGTATGCAGTTTGCTGCAGTAGAGGGCGAGAGTAGCCGTGGACAGACACAGAGGCGCACACTCATTCACCGATCACATAACCCTCCTAGTGGAGATAATAAGCACTACGCAGTGAGGTTTACAGATTTTACATTTGGAAACGAGAGAGCACTAGATCTCTATCTGTATCGGTATGGAGAAAAAACAAATCAGATTGGTGCATTATATCTGAAATTAAGAATCTGCCTGGAATTTAGAGTACCTTGTTTATCACACCAGCCACAACGCCTAATCGGGCCAGTGGTGTTAATATATATATATATATATATATATACAGTATATACTGTATATATATATATACTGTAACAACAATGAAACTTTAATCCTCACTACCATCAACATCAGTACTGTAAAACTGAACATGCATAATAAACAGGAAAAGAATCCAACAAAGGATGATTGACATGTCGACTGACAAATAATACCATGGTGTGCAAAACGAATAACCAATCACCTTTGTGAAGGACGGCGGGATTTCCTGTATGTGACGCAGACACTCCCAGTCAACACTGGAGGCCCCACCCTTTGTGTTACCTACCGCCCGTCAATCAAAATAGAAAAAAAATCTGACAGTTATCACCTATTTCTACGCGTAAACAATCAATTTTATTTGCTGATAATGTCCGGTGCCTTGTGACTATCAGGACTCTCCGTTTCACGACAAGTCACGGAATGACTGGTATGTAATATATATCTTATTATTCTCCAAGCTAACAGGCTACCACAGGCATCCTCTGGCTAAATTAGCTAGCAGGCTAGCAGGGATGCTGGTTGGCGATATTGCTAATCATCGCCGGCTAGGTTAGCAGTAGCAGCTAACGCTGCGCTCGTTAGCTAAGCTAGCCGTGTTAGCTTGTGTAGGACACATCACTAGTCAAACTCATTATTACTACGTCGCTATTTTATTTATTTTATTTGGTACAATTGGTAGCGGCAGTTGTGATTGTATTGTTTGCCAGTCTACTGACGTTATGACGTTACATGTATCTGCTTGTCCTCTAGTTATGTGAGTATCAAGCTTGTTTAGCTAACGTTAGCTTCGGCTGTTGCCACTCTTAGCTAAATGCTTTTTACTACACAGCCCCAGAGCAGCCGATGAAACCAGAAGATATGGCTGCCTTTGACGGGGACAGCAGTCACAGCGACTTTCTGCAGCAGGAGCAATGCAGGGGCAATCAGGTAACGTAAAGGTTTCACTCATGGGATTAGGATGCATTAGGCTATACGTCGTTAAGTGGTGTTTACCGAAGTTCACACATTTCAAACTTGGAGTGGGGTATTGTGCCCTCATTTGTACTAAGGCAATTTACATATCCCGCTTCCTCAGCTTGGATTCAAGTGACAGGCTGTAAACTCCAGTAAGATATAAACATTAGCTGGGTGCTATCATCATAGGTGCTGCCTGGAAAGAAAGTCCCTCAGTTTCCTAACTTCAGATTTAGCTCTTTGGCAATGAGTTATAATTTCACTATGGCCCAGACTAATGGACACCCACTTTCTTCCTTTTTAAATTTGCCTATTGTGGGAAGGACACTCAGCCATCACCCCTCGACCTGCTAGCAACCACCTGCAGTAAGGTTGGGTCACCATCGTCAGAGGTGGACAGAGGTGCTGTAGCTGATGTGGTAAGTCAGCACCTCTGCTAGATCAGACACAGCTACAGCAGTCAAGTCCTCAGTCACAGCTGAGCAGAATTGGTGGTTGGAGAGTAGTCAAGCTTACACTTTTGCACATTTTGACATTTAGGTGGATATCTCATTGCATCAACTAGAATTGTTTTACCATTAACTACTAAAACAGACCTCAGTAAGGGCATCCATATCCTTCTGGTCATGTGACTAACCACAAGTGCATCAGGGAATGAAGTGAAGTTCAACTATAGATAAATGAATGTAGGTCAACATGTAGTTTGACTGTGTCTGTTGTTAAATGTGGTTTTGTATTTGTGCTTATTAATGAGAGTGATTGTGATCAATCTGGCAAAAAACATGAAGCCAGGAGCACTAGTTGAATGTTTTCACATTAAAGCAGCTGCAACAGCAATTAAGTTTGTTTGTATAGTAAATTAACACTTCATTACAACTGTGATAGCATAACAAAGCAGAACATATAAGAAAACTGTGAGGTTTCTTTCTGGCTGTGTTCACACAGCTCTCGTTTGATACAGTCGACCCAAACTCACGTGTGTTTGCCCATTTGCGGAGGTTAATTTTGTCTGACAAGCACGCATCAGGACCCCCTGAAAACGTAGCACTAACCACCATAAATATAGCTTTCAAGCGTAGTTAGGTGTAGCAGGAGCTGCTGTTGGGCATAACATTTAATTTCATGGGTCAGAGTGGCGCTGATGATGGAGGATGACACACCTCTGACATTGTCTAATGTATGAGTTACCAGTCAGACATCAGGGTTACAACTCTTGAGTTAAACTTACAAAACTAAGGTGATATCACATTCATAGATCACCAGTTACTAAGAACAGGAACATACATGTGTAACTTAACTTAAATGTCTTTCCTATGCAGCTCATAGAATTTAGCTCATTTTGCCCTCTGCCCCAACATGCTTGCATAATTTTTTTCTTCAAACTATTGCGCTGTGTACAAGGTGTCAAATATATTTATAAATCAGGTTATAACTAGACTGCCGAGCAAGCGCTTTGCATTGCTTAAGATATTTAACAACAAGTGCCTAATGTCTTTTTTTTAATGTCAATCATTTATTTTCTCAGACATCAGATGCATCTATTCAGCTTACTGGAACAGAGAAATGGGAGGTGTTAACCCCCGCAACGGCAGCAAAAGATGAATCCGGATTGATACAAATCCAAAATCACGGAATATTAACATCGAACGGACAGTACGTTCTTCCTCTCCAGAACTTACAGAGTCAGCCGATCTTTGTGACGTCGGGAACTGACGTCTCCTCTGCCAATTCAGTGCCTAACATTCAGTACCAAGTAATTCCTCAGATTCAAACAGCAGACGGACAGCTGAGCTTCTCCACTTCCGGCATGGAAGGAGCGACTCTGTCTCAGAATGCCACAGGGCAGATTCACATCTTGCCTGACAGTAGCCAGAGTCTCAGCGTAACATCAACTGCAAACATCATTAATAGCAACCAGAACCTCATATCACAGACTGCTAATGTCCAGCAGCTCCAGGGGGTTTCTCTTGGCAGCTCCACCTTCAACAACCAGGGTCAGGTTGTTACTAATGTGCCTGTGGGTTTGCCTGGGAACATTACCTTTGTTCCTATCAACAGTATGGACTTGGACTCTCTTGGCCTCTCTGGTGCTCAGACTATAGCAACAGGGATCACTGCCGATGGCCAGCTAATTATGACGAGTCAGCACGTTGACGGCTCGGAGAGTCTGGCGAAGACAGATAATCACCTTTCACAGACACTACCGGTAGACGGCTCAAATGCAAATCACGAGATATATGTGCCAACGTCTTCCTCTCAGCTACAAATTCAAACGAACGAATCGGGCCTGCTGACACAAGACACTTCGTTGTCATCGGTGGGTACAGATCAAGCCGACTCGAGTTCTGGTCTCCAGGAGGGCTTCATCCAACAGATCCAGGAGCAGAGCATCCAGGTGTCCTCTGCTCAGTCCATCATCCAGCTGCAGCAGATACCTATTCAGACCACCAACGGTCAGGTGGTCCAGTCCGGGCAGAACCTGCAAAACGTGCAGCTGATCAACCCGGGAACATTCATCATCCAAGCTCAGACGGTCACGGCGTCGGGTCAGATACAATGGCAGACCTTTCAGGTGCAGGGAGTGCAGAACCTGCAGAACCTGCAGCTGCCAACAACACCACCCCAGCAGATAACCCTGGCTCCAGTCCAGACCCTATCACTGGGTTCCAGTCCAGTCAGCATCAGCACGGGACAGATCCCCAACCTGCAGACGGTGACAGTCAACACAATGGCCCAACACGAAGGAGACACAGACAACTTTGGAGGTACAGTAGCTCTTTATATTAATCTACTCATAATGTACTGTGGAGTCCATTGTGCATCCTGTTGTTTATGGTAGTTTGGTTGATTTTGTTTGCCTTACTCTGCCTCTGATTGGCTAGTATTTGTGCCTTCTTTGCAGAATATGTTGATTAAGTTTATTGCTGATGAACAAGATTGGTGGAAGGTCGGTAGGGTTAATGATTTCAACTCGGACATGGATGTTTTCATAAGGATGGCAGCATTCTTGTACAGTGGTCTCATATATATTATTACAACATCCTGATTCTCAGAGAAAAAGGTTTTGTTTCTCTATGAAGATTACATTTTTCTATGTGGTGTCATAATTAAACACATCGTTAACCTTAATGATGAAACGGAACACTGATTAAGTGTGAATGGATGTGTTGTGAAAATTTATTTTAGTCTAAACATTTATACTATTATACAAAATTGAGAAAAATCAATTATTGTTGGAAATTCATCCAAACAAGTTTTCTTTATAAATATAGTTTTTTTTTACATTCAACATCTCAACAAAATACATTGTTTGTATCTTTAAAGCGCTTTTTGTTTAGTCTGTAATAATAGCTATCAAAACATTGTGATGAAGTTATTGTAGCAAAGTCCTTCCTTCCATTTTCTGCCACCTGTGGGCTAAAAAACCACACGGTATGTAAATTGAATTATCAAAATTGTCATTGAAGTAATTATTTTATCACTAAGTTGTACTTGTCACACAGAATGATGGAGTATCTCTCTCTCTGAAGGCTTCTTGATTAGTTTACCAGAGCTTGATATTGACGTACACATTGATTCCAGACATTCGGATAAAAGAAGAGCCGGACTCTGGAGACTGGCAGCTGAGCACCGACTCCACCCTGAACACAAGCGACCTGTCCCACCTCCGCGTCAGGCTGGTGGATGAGGAGGACCAGCTGGGTCAGGAGGGCAAGAGGCTGCGCAGAGTAGCGTGTACTTGCCCCAACTGTAAAGAGTCCGGTGGGAGGTGAGTAAGCCTGACTTCATACTCTCTACAGCTCTGCATTGGCAATAAACATATCAGGACCCTAACTGCCCATACCTGTGCTCCTCAGAGGGTCCAGCACGGGGAAGAAGAAGCAGCACATCTGCCACATTGCCGGCTGTGGGAAAGTATACGGAAAGACGTCACACCTGCGAGCACACCTGCGCTGGCATTCAGGGGAGCGACCTTTTGTTTGCAGCTGGATGTTCTGTGGGAAGAGATTCACACGCAGCGACGAGCTGCAGAGACACAGGAGAACACACACAGGTGCAATTTATTTTTTTTTGCTCCCTCTGTGTTCGCGCATTAGGAAAACACCAGCAAAGTGTGTTAATCTGTGCCCTGCAAAGTGTGAGTCACTTAAGAAATAACAGCGTTTGTCCCCCTGTAGATTTGCATGTGAAATGTCAGGTGAGGATTTAAGGCCATTGTGAAAATAAAAAGAACAACCAGATTTGACAGTTTTCTGTAGTACTCGTAGTGAGCCGTTTAGCCATCCGTCGTCATCGGGTGAACTATAGGAAGTAGTAGCCTATGAGAAATCCAGTGAAATAAACCAGCACAACGTAATGATCTGCATTATCTGATGACATTTACTCCCAGAAGAGACTTTTAAAAGAGAGACGATCAATTTACAAACCCTCGCCATATAATTGGCTGACGGAGGCCTCTGACAGTACGGCCTATAGTAGCGTTTCATTACAATGTCAGCTTCAATGCTCAGATATCAAAAGGATAGTTCTGATTTTTTGTTGAAGTGTATGAAGTACTTATCCATACTCGGTGTATTACCCACAGTAGTGGCTAAAATACGTTTTGCTGCTTGTGTCTGTTTCTCCAAACTGGATCTCCTGTAAGTAATATTCATACAACCCCACTTAACAAGTATTCAATAATTCTATCTAATTGGTGATAATTGTAATCAACTATAAAGTATTAATTTGTCATCAATTTATTCGTCAGTGACAGGTTGGAATTCACTAATATCGCAGTAAAAATATTTAGACTTCAGTGACATTTCTGCCTTTTATTATTTTATTCGACCAAATTGAACTTGGGCGCCACTTTCTTAAACGTGCCTCCTCAACCTATGAAACATATCCTCCAGATAGATAGCCGTGTTTGACTCTCTCTCTCCAAATGTATTCACCATCAAACTCTTCATCTTTCAAACTCTTTATTTCCTCTCTGGCAGGAGAGAAGAAGTTTGTCTGCCCAGAATGTTCAAAGCGCTTCATGCGGAGCGACCACCTGGCGAAGCACATTAAAACTCATCAGAACAAAAAAGGCGTGAACTCCGGCAGCGCCGCGGTGGCCTCGATGGAATCCGCGGGGTCCTCAGACAGTATCATCACCACGGCGGGCGGCACCACCCTCATCCTCACCAACATCCAGCAGGGGTCCAGCACCGCCCAGGACATCCTGGCCAACGCAGAGATCCCGCTCCAGCTCGTCACCACCGTAGCGGCCAGCGAAGTCATGGAGTGATTTGCACTCCGCTTATGAACTTCGACAACCTTTTCTCATACCGTATACTCCTACCTGCATTTTTATTCGCGTTTTGAAGAAAAACTAAAATTCTAAATATATATTTTAACACAGAAATAGTCCGGACATGTCCGTACTCGGTTTCCACTGAGGAGAAACTAAGTGGTGGAGACTGAAAGAAGATAACGGTGGAAAAAAAGACATTGCAGTAAACACACAAGGAAATGCCTTATTTTGTACAATATCATGTCGTTGGAAATGTAGGATGCCATTTTGTTTTGAACCTACTTATTTTGTGTTATTGTGTTTTTCACAAAAAAATATTGGTAAGTTGAGCAAATGTTTTTTTTTTCATGGTATATTCTTATGTTTGTTCCATCCTTTAAGCAAAGATTTAATCTCACAACAGAGCTACATTTAAGTAATGTTATTGCTTATGTCCATGCAGATGTATTCATGTTATGTTTTATATATATATATATATATATATTATGCATATTCTTATTTCTGTGTCCTCTTCTTGCAAATCGTCCGGCCCTCTTTAAAACCGTTGCTCACATTTTGCAGGTGAAAATCAAAAAAAACAATCAAAATTTTGTATTTTAATTCCTTTTGAACATATACTGTTGATATGATGCACATTATTTGCTTATTAAATATTTTACTGAACCGCTATTTATATTTAGGCTTTACATAGACAACGCATTTGTGATATTAAAAGTCAAAAATATTTCAAATGGCTCCATTATATGTCATTTAAATGTGTTTTTGTAAAACCTTTTTGGAGGGGGAAAAAAACATTGTAATATTTAGAAGAAAAGCCATTTTTGTTTTTTTGGAGGTAATTGCCAAATTTGACTACAAACTCAGGGTGACTTGTGACTGTGTTCTATAAGTGGAGTAAATCACCTCTGTAGCGTCTCGGGCCGTTGGTGGTGTTTGATGACGGACCAAAAGCTGAGGTGCTCGTTGAGTTCTACCATGTCAGCTGTTGCGGTGAGGAGGCCCCGGTTCATGTTATAGAAACAGCTTTGCAGAATCCTCATCAGCATCTCGCTCCATCATGCAGTCGGAAGAACGTAGTGCATTACTGAAAGCGGTACTCTTTTTAACAGCACTATTCTCATCACTTCATCTTGTTGTTAATCCTTTTGTATGCATTTCTTTTGTATACTTCGCAAGAAACTGTCCTTTATATTCATTGTCAGTAAATGTAAAATGTTTGTCTTTTTGTTGATACCATTTACTTTAACTTTATGTTGCATTTTCCTCTTCCACGTTATCGTGTTTTTTATTTTATCTCTGAACCCCTTCCTCCCCGACTGTTGAATTGTCAATTTAAATGCACACTGAACAGTGAATTATGGTGGCATATTTGATTAGATTTTGGACACGTTGTCCTCTTCAGGAGATGAATGCTTTACCCCCCCATTAAAACAGCATCTTTATATTATGTACTAAACACTGTTTAGGTTTGTTTTCACTTCAAAATCTTCTGTATAAATATGTCAATATAACATCAATATAAACCTTCTGTTACACTTGAATTTTCTTTCATTTTTCCTGAATTGTTTTCTGTTATCAAACGACTAAACGTAAGACGAGTTAGAATTACACTTGAAACCTTTTGTTTTGTGTCTTTTCGACGACTTGTCATCGTGACAGAGGTTCGTCCTCCCCCCGCGGCTCTTACTCTGGGTTAGTAGTCCAGTAGATGTCACTACAGCCAAGGGAGCAGGACGAGAGGTATGTTTGACCCCTCGGCCTTCCCCCGTGTAGCACCGCTAAGATAAGGACAGAAGTCACCGAGGCTAACAGGAGGTGTGGACCCCTCAGTTAACCACAAGTTAATGTCACACAGAAATGTCAGCAACATATTCTGCTGCTGGAGAACAAAGTACTGTCTCGTGACTTTGAACAAACCCTACAGACGCATCAGAGGTAACGGCTCCTGGTTTTATGACCTACATTCATGTAGATTTGAGTTAATTACCAGGAATCTATTTAAATAACCTGCTCCTTTTTTTGTTTCTGACTTCTAAGAGTCCACACATTTTCCTGCCACTATCATTTACCAGAGGTACCAATCATTTCTTAATATTTTGATATATTAACCTGATATTACGTTCCCACAGCAGCACACGCATGCTGCATCAGTATCTGTGTCTCTTACACTAAATGGGACATTTGACTAATTAGGTACTGTTGCTATTTTTTCGTTAATATTAAAGACAGCGGCATAAGGGAGTTAAATATGTATTATAGCCTTCCTGGTTTTAGTGCCTGTGAACATAATTAAAATGGTAGTCAATGAAAAGCTTTATCTGGTTAATCAGAATGAAAAGCACATGATGTTTGAGTCTTTGTCAATTTGCTGAAAGCGAGTCAGACGATGTGGTCTATAACATTAAAAAGGACTCGTCCATATTGTCGTTCCTTTCATTTGCATAATTTAATGAATCCAATTCATTGTAATGCAATACCAAGTGCACCAGGAACATAGAATGACAGTTTGAGTTAATGAAATGTGTTAACGGTATCATCATTTACTTGTATGTTAATTAGTCCAATTAATTTCCCCTGCTCGGTAATCTGAATATTGTAATAATCTTTTCTCCCCTGCAGGAATGAACCTGTGATACACAGACCTTTGGGACAATCTGCGAAGAGAATCCTGGGTTTTTCCAGTTGAAACATGAGTGCCTTCAAATATTTCTTAGGTGTGAAGTACAGGAATATTCCTGCAGTATTTAGGGAATTTGTGCTTGAATATTATTTACCAGAGTTTGTGTACAGTCTGCCTTTTAGCTTTTATGATGCAAATCACACCCACAGTTGGAAATGTGTTGAGGAGGATTTGTCCGGTGCCAGACTCAGGATAACTTTCACCTGCTTGACAAACGGCCATTGCATTGCAACAAGAAGGAGGGATGGTTCTTCTGGCCGTTGCAGATAAAAGCTGCCATCAGTTGGCGATCCTCCTCGGCACGTTAAAGGGAAGGAAGAGAGATCGGCTGCTGAGCGTGACGCTGTCCACACTGTCATTTCAACTGACCGCCTGGATTGGAGGCTAACTTTGTCAACAAACTGTTGTAGCTCTTCTAATAGCGTACTTATGTGTGTCAGTGTTGGCCTGTAACCTGATGAGCAGAGAACAGTTTTAGCCCGATTAATTAATCTGGAGAGGTGATTTTAGTTTTAAGAAAGCTTTGTCAGACAACTAAAGCATCTCGTGGCTTTGATTTGTTGAGGAAAATGTGTGTTTACTGCACACACTCAGCCCATCGTTGTTGCTGGTTTTTTTGCAAAAGAGGAATGAAACACAATTCAACTTGAGTCTTATTTTGGAGAGTAAAAGGAAAGCTTTTTTTTTTTTAATAATGTAGCTTCAATATTGTGTTTTATGATGGAAAAATATGATTTACACTACTGGTAGTTTGTGTGTTTTTATTGCAGCCATTAGCTTTGGTTCTTCTGGCTCCGGTTGAATAATGGTGCATTTGTTCATGGTGCGCAACTTCTCCTCCAATTCATGTGCAAAATACATAAACACAATAAATACTGTAATCATGCAATAACATTTCCAACTGTATGTGTGATAGAATTCAAAATGCTATTGGGATTATGGTTCTTAACCATTGGGAGGTAATGTGAACTGTTGGCAGAAATGAATTCTTTCATTGTACTGTCCCAAATATACAAAATACTTCAGCGAGAGGGCTGCTTCTTCCCTACGTATCCCTGCCTAGCTGTAACTGTTTCCCCCAGTTGTTGAAGGATAGGCCTGCAATTTTTGCAAAGTGACTATTATTTGCCTTTCTCGAGGAATCAACAACTTGAAAGTACAGTGCGATGAATTGTTGGGGTTCTGCCGCTGCATTTATTTGCAGTAAGTCTCTTCTGTGAAACAGAATTTAGAGCAGAAAGCCTTTATTTAATTTCCTCTCGGATATGAACTGAATGTCTCCTCATGAATAAGATGCACTTACCATCCTGCTTAATATTTTGTTCATAGAACGGGACTAATGGTGTTTTTCTCTTAAACCATTAGGACATTTGAAACCACATACAAAAAAAAGAATGTCCTGTGTTTTTACATTCCTGACACATTCTTGCCCTTGATCAACTATAGAAGGCAGACAATAGCGCAGATCATTTTCCCCATGCAGGGAAACACAGCATGGATCAACTCAATAACCTGATATTCCCTGTCTACTGAGTGTGGCCAATTTAGCAGAAGGTCAGCGCCTTTTTTTTTTTTATTCCAGAGACAATTTGGTGACCTCCCTCTGGAGCCCCAGCAGGACAAACAGAATCGTCGAGCTCGAAAGTGCTCGTGTTGACATTGCGTTTAGGTGTGGACTTCTCAAGGTGAACAGATACCTGGTGAGGGACTGCGAGGCTATTATGCAAACCTGAGCCACGGCCAGAAGTCGCAGGCTTGTGGATTTAGTTTTTCATGTATTTTTGTCAATTATTGAGCGTCAGGGGGGATGTTTAAATTTAAAGATGACCACTGGGTATAAAAGTATGATGTATGTGCTTCCGTGGCTGCAAATCATTTCCCATCATCCTTTTCTATTCACAAGTGCCATTCACAGCTTCAAATTAAAGTGAAATTATGGTCTGACTATGTTCTATTTTAGGAGGGTGGAATTCAGATTTGATCAATCTTTTCTGTCTGTATTGCAAAATTCCTCTCTCATGCTGGTTTGCATGTACTGTATGTACAGTATGTTGTTTTACCAGATCCAACTGTGAAAATTGAACCGACAACAATGAGACACCTCCATCCAATGTTCCACATTATGTTGTTATTTGTACTCATACGCAGCATGTGTCTGTTTTTAGTGAAGAGACAATTGCATAAGATCCTGTTGAGATATATGAGAAGATTAGGAGGGATCGTTTTTAGCCATTCCTCACAGCAGTACAGTTTTCCTATGGTACGAAATAACTCTTTATCTTTATTGTGCACCTCACGGTCTTAACGTGACAACGGCTTCAACTTCCTCCAGACTGGAGTCGAGGATAAACTGCAAGCATGCGCTCAATATTCTCTTTTGGTGACAAGAGCTGGCCTTCAGTGTTATTCAGCCCATTGAAAACAATTTCAGATATGAAAGGAGTCGTTCTGTGTCTGAAAATGTACATTAAATGGTGTCAACAACATCCTGGAGGTCAGAGTAGAGTCCCCATGGAGACTGAATCTGGCTGCTGCGCTCGAAGACTCGACACCCCCCCTGAGTGGCGGCTCCGTGATGGCTCTCAGTTTCTCTCGTCATGTCCCTGGCAGCTTTGACACAGGTAATATGCATGCACGCTGACAGTGCCTGGGATGTGCGGCAGAGACAATGATGTACATATCATTTTCCTTCCTGACTGATTGAAGACTGTAATCTGTGCTGGACTTTCTCACTGATTACACACGTCTCAGGGAGCAAAACAAGGACTCTGAGCTGCCACTGGGCACCGGACTCATCCAGGGCTTTCAGCCTTCAAGAGGACTGAAGTCCGCCTTTAAGGTGAGCTCAATTTTCATCCCATTTACACTATTGTTACAAGTGTCGGATGGAATGCATCTGGTAGATAGTGGTCAAACTGTGGCTGTCTGAAGATGACACAGAAACAGATGTATCTGGCACCCAAGGTCATCCCATTCCCATCTCTAGCACTAGCACAAGCTCCTGTGAAGGCACAAAGAGAGAAACAATATTATGAATTTTACATTCACCGGCTGTGTGTTCTGTGCTACGGGCCCAACCTGTCCAACAAGACCACCCACGAAATGCAGAATAGCTATACTACTGTTTGGTTTCTGAACAAAGAAAGTGCTCCACTGGTTTAATGATGAAGCAAACCCAAAGGTTTTATTATTTAAAGTTTTGTTCTCTTGCATAATATATAATGTTTGCAAAAAGTGCACTCAGATATTCAACACGCCCTTAACCTGCCTGCGTAACCTTGCGAGGTACACTTGTGTCTTTATGTAAAAAGAGATTTCTCTGTTGACAGTAGGTCAATCCTTTACAGAAGTTACCTAGCACATTACAAGGTTGGTCTCGGGAGAGAAGTAATGGGTTCTGGGCAATTGACCAACCTGCCATGCTTTGCTGCACCTGCACTGAGTTAGAGCTGTCATCATTACCACTTCCTCTAACGTTCCCCCACAGCAACCCAGACACTCCCACTTACAGCGATATTTCACTTTGGTGGAACATTTTCACTTTTTATTATGCATCCCTCCGTACACGACCAGAGGCAAGTCTAGCTGTAAGATTTGAAGCAGTAAGGTAACCTCTAACAGGCCTTTTGGGGTCTGCACTAAAACATAACGTTTCCAAAATAGCTCCCAGTCACCAGCTATGACTCCGACTTCAACTTTTCAGATTGAGAACCATGCTTGCCGAAAAGAAAATATCTTGAAGATGAAAGGTTGTAAAAGTGTCTATACCCAGATTTTCTCCATGTCAAAATATGAAGAACACGAGGTCAGTCATTTGAAAGGCATTCATCCTCTATTTTAGTTGATTTATTCAAAATGATTGCAAGATTGTACACTCTGAAAATAATCATTAGGGTGTTTTGTTAAAAAGAAAAGGTGTTTGAGTGGTTCATTAGAATGAATCAAAATCTTCTACATTATTTAGTTAATCAAGACTTGCTGTTAGGAAGCACCTTCAACTTCATTTATATATTTTTTTCTTTCCTTTTCATTAGTGCAATCCTTTTATAAACTATTGTACATTTAAATTAGCGCGGCAACACTACATACAGGTCAGGGATCAAAACTGTGGCGGTCACAGACGTCACACACTCACAGCTTTCTGATTGCAAAGCCGTCTGAAATCTGGTCTGATTAACGTTTTCAACAATCCTTTTGTGCTTTAGTTAACAGTGAACATCAGTAGCATCGTGAGAGACATCGCTTGGAAGAGACTTCTCACATCTGCTCTCCTTAAACAAAACAATCTCACCACAAGGTCCATTTAGTATTTTCTGAGCACTTGATAAGTGTTGACATCACCTTATGTCACAAAAGTTACAGGAAGGTGTGGGTGCTGCTCACTCTAATAGCAAATCTCGCGTATTTTTCTGACACGAAAACCAACAAACAACATTATTGTAATAGAAATGTTTAGCATTCAGGCTTTTTAAAACAACAAATATCAAAAGAGATCAAGGCCTCTTGCATTGCGAGCCTGCAGCAACTTGGCTCTGACTTGCAGATGTTTTTCCCTCAGTCTTCACGTCCTCCTCCCACACATGTCTTATATCAGTATTCGCCGGATCCAAAAAGGACCAGCTTTGAAAATGAAGGAGAGGAACTTTACATTGTGCCAGAAAAAGGAATGGAAATTACGGGCAGTGTCAGATAATTGAGCTTGTCGTAAGAGACATGTTAATAACAGACGGAGATGCAGAAGACTTGTCACTCCGTACCCTGGGTGACAGACTCTCTCTGCTGTTGATGAGCTGTTTTAGAGAGGAAATTGTTCCACACAAACACCATCGTTATTACAAGCTGGCAAGCTGCTCGCTTGTGTACCCAATTCTGCTTGAACTGACAGAATCCAATTGACCGGCACATATTCATGCACTTTATTTTCTTTATTCTCACCAACAATGCAGATAATTACTGCACCAAGTAAAACTGAAAATAGAATTTCACTGTGTTCCAGAAAACAATGCCAGAGCTGTCTCAGCAACATGTCTGCTGAAATTACTGTGACTTGGAGACCTACTGTAAGACGAGCAGCAATCCAATATTAGTCGTCAACTTAAAACCTACTGGAACCATAATGGCATTCTCTTCGTTTATAAAGTAAAGTGAAATAACTTGCATTTTTCATGTTGTCGTTGTGCTCGCTGCAGCAAAGCAAGGCCACGTCGTGCAAACCTTTATTCAACA